CTGGTCCCCTCCCCTCCCCTCCTCTTTTCCTTCCCTCCACTCCCCTTCCCAGGAGGTTACAAATCAGAAAATAAAAGAAAACCCAGCAGATTTCATTATTGCCATTTTAAAAAATATTTTACAATTACTATAATGACTCTTTGAGCAGTTTATATGTTACATCATGAAGATAACAGAAAGTGGTAATAATTTTCACCTTCATTTTTTTCCATTGCAATTTGTATAGCAAATTTTTCAGTCTGAAATTAAAACATACAGTAAAAGGGGGAAAAAGCAGTGGCAAGTATAACCTCAATTATCTAAATGCCAGGGTGCCACATCCAAATGTGGGAACTTGAAGAAGTACAAAAGGCCCTTAGAATAGCTGCTTACGAAATGTCAGTACATTTGGCAGACTTCTTTTTAGCCTTTCATTTTGAGATTTATTGCCTGAAATTCAAGGATTATGTACTTTATGGATGCACCTTGAACAATGTGCCTTTATGGGGGGGGAAAGTGGAAATATGCCTGGAAGAGAAGTGAAATGACAAGCCAATATTTTAAGATGGAATATTATCTATCCTCTTTTATGTGGAGAAAAAAATCACACGCAAACCAGCAGAATTTTTTTGTTGTTGTTGTTGAGAAAAGTCAAAGGAGGAAGGGGAAGAGAATGAAATTACAATTATCCAGGCCATTATCTCTTTCCATGCTGTTTATTTATGTATTTTCATTCTGAAACTCCTAAAGAAGCAACTTTATCATAGCAACTGCTGTTTGTCATTATTTCACTGTTACACAGTGGGACTTTATAGAATATCTCCCAGTAGTAAGAGACTTTCCAGCCATTGGCTGACTGCTCATAAGTGATAAACAGTTTAGAAGTAAGCTATCCTTCAGCCAAAGATAGTATATATGCTTTAAATGCTGTGGAGTAGAGAGAAGCTGTTCAGTATTTCAAGTTTACCGCCTACTTAAGGTTACTGTGATTCTGAACACATACTTAAAAAGAAATAAATACTTCTGGTGATTAACAGAAACAGGTGAGACAGCAGGATTTGATTTATGTAGGAACTTAATTGAATTTGAAAAAATATCTATTGTTCTGTAGGTGGAGAATGAGAAATCGAGGACGGAAAGGGCTGAGGGATACCTATGTTTATTCTGTTTGAACCTGGCATATTCTCAAATACCTTGTGGCTCTGGGTCTAAGATTAGGGAAGACCATAACGCTCCTGGACGACCTCTTACACAGGTCTTTTTTCTCATTACCAATATCAAAGTAAGAGGAAGCAAGTGGGAAAAATGAGCAAGCTCTTGCCTTGGTGGGTGTTGGTGGACATTTTCTGTGATATTTTAAGGAATACTTTGAATTGAGTGGACTGGTTCTGCTCCAGTCAGCATAAGTACTATCTAAAGATGAAAGCTAGATTGAGTTTTCAGACCATCTAGTGAGGTATTGACTGTCATCCACTAGAAAAAAAATAGCTTGCTGTAAATATACCTCAAGTTTCAAAGTCAGCAGGTAGATATATACAGATACAGTGATAGGACAAAGAAGGAATGGTTTTAAACAAAGAGAAGGGAGATTTAGATTAGACGTTAGGAAAAAATTCTTTACTCAAAGATCAGTGAGACATTGGCACAGGCTGCTCATAGAGATATCCAGGTGTATCCTGTAGATTTTCATTCTTGTTGAGCAGTAATCTTTTTTTGCCATTGTCTTATGAGAAAAAAAAAAAAAAAGGTCTTTCGTTTCTGTGCATACACACACACATATACATATATATATATATATATATATATATATATAAAGAAGATACAGAATATCCCTTGATTGGATTTGGCTTGAGAAGTGCTGCAATAGCAGTTAATTTTGTGTCAGTGGAACAGGCAACTTGAAATAAGATCACTAGTACAACCTGCATTTCAGGCTTTTATTTCTGGATGATACTTTGAATTAAAGACAGTACTTAAATCTGTTTACCTATAAAAGTGAAAGAAAGCCAACTTTTTATTTCCAATTTATTTATGTATTTATTTTTGCTAAAGTCAGTTTAACAGTCTGTAGAGACACTGGAACAGATTACTTTAGGGCAAAGAGGCACTAAATATCATAATCTTTGTGAGTGAGATAATAAATACCTGCACAGCCTATTGAGTGTTTAGGAGATAGGAACAATAGCACACATGTACTTTTAGGGAATATAATGGATCTACAATGGACAAACTGCAAAAGTAAACGTGCTTCATGAGGCAAAGCAGGTTATGTTTTTAATTTTAATGCCCATTCTTTTGTGGAAATTTAGTTTTAATCTTTTAATCTTACTCAATAAGTTTTCTTGATGCATTAGTTAACCCATAAGAAACGAACACACACGCATTGAACTTTCAGCTCTATACATAAAAAATCGACAACCACCACTCTGCTGTAACAGTTTTAACCCAAATTATCTATTATGCTTTTACAGGAAACCTACTGAGTTACACAAGGCAACAACCACAGCCATTTCTCCTACCAGGTGCTTCTTTCAGTGGATTTAATTTTTGCTATTATTGTAGGAATTTAAGATCATGATGGTAACAAATTCTGTTTAATGATCATTTGTACATTTTTATGGGCATTTTCTTTCCAAACTGTGCTAGTAAGTTCCCTTAGAGTGTTAAGGTTCCTGAATGTTTTAGATGAAAATCTTATACTTGCCATTACAAGTTTCACTTACAAAATGATCTTTTCCCCTCCACTGTGAACATAATATTGTGAAATGAAGTGTGACACTCCAGTTCCTTCATTACTTATAGTAGTTTGTATGAGGAATTCCTTGTGCATATTCATTTATTTATGAGGAAGAGTGCTGCACATTCTGTTCTGAACTGCCACTGAATTAGCACCCCGGTGTTATACCAGGGGGACATCATTCCAGTTTTTCAGTTAGGTAGCAGAGCAGAAACTGTAGCTCCTTGTACTTAGAAGAAACCTGCTGGTGTTGCTCCAGAGGTAGTTTATTAACCTCTGTTCTCCAGTTACAATACTTCAGACATTATATTCTGTCTTCTGGGCTTCTCTTCCGTCTGGAAATCATATTCCAACTAAAATCCATTCAAATTAAGAGTAAGTAAGTGACTGCAGGACAATTACTGTAGAGCTCAACCTCTATAAAAAGTATTGTTCATGCCTGTAGTAGACATACTGTATCTGCAGGGAGTCTTACTTATTGTCACTCCACAGTGTTTAGCAGTCTGAGGATATTTATCAAGAAATAGATTCTGAATTGTAGAGTACATACAACTACATCAATTAATTATGAACATTAATCTTTGGTTTGCTGTGGGCCTGACTGAAAATCTTTTGGACGTTTTCAAAAAATTTTCAAGGAATTACAGAAAGAGTTAGAGAAGGCTTTTGTGTAGCTGTGTAAGTAGCTGTGATGATTCCTGGCTTCTTTTATTGTTAATTGAACATAAAAATTATATATAATATTTTTATAAATTGAAATAATTCTGACATCTTAATTCAACCTTCTTTCTTTTCTGTTTGAGCTATATATTAGTCCCCAGCTAATGAAAAACTCAGTGAAACAGACACAAGTGAGCCTAAATCAACAATAATGGAAGAACAGATAACAGTAGGTCAGGATGTCAGTTAATGGCTAGAAATTCTTCCTTCTGTAGTTGAAAACTTTTGACCATCTGTTCATCGTCAGCTCACAAGAAACCCCAAGTCACTGCTGTGTATCCTCCTGTACAATCACCAGGAAATCCTAAAGAGTTGAGCTTGGCAATGGGCTAGTAACAGCTTCTTCATGTCTGATGGTGGGAGGCATTTGCTCATACTGCTGTTCTAGATTCCTGCTCTGGATATGTTTACATATAATGCTTAGTTTTTGAGGCAATTACTTTAATTCTGTTTCTCTGCACTGAAAATTAATCTAAGAAGGCCCACTATTGGCAGAGTCCATGCAGAAAGAAGAATCATCTGTATTTATTTATTGAATAACTCCTTGCTCAATATCTTCTTTCTTCTCATGCCAACTTTTGATGAAGCTTTTTTCTGCCATTCCTGTAGTGTTGGGTGCAGGGTGAAAGCCAAGTTGGATTAGCAAGAAGCCTTGAGGGCTTAGTCTGCTTGGGCATGTGTTAATGGGCTTTGTGCAGAATATGAGGCAGATGTGAGCGTAGGCAGACTAGAAATCACAATGCTGTCAATAAAACTGCAAAACTCAAGGGCTTCAGTGCTGCCTTCAACCAGAGCCAGAGGGCTTTCGTAATTTCTTTTGCTCCTGCTTCCTCCTGAGGGACAGCTTTCTTTAAAGAAAATAAAGGATGAGAGATAAAGAAGTCCTGTCTGAAAAGACCAGAGGGAACCGCCTACTGCACTTGATGCCTGAAGGCAGGGAGTTCACTCTCAGCCTGTGCTGAAGAGAGAGAGGCAACGTTTCTCATTTGAAAATAACAGAGACAGATGCAGTCAAAAGTCTGCAGCAGTAACATCTATTTTTAAATTCTCCCCTATACCAGGACGAGCTGCCTCCTAATGAGCAGTCATAGACTCTTCACTGTTTTTTATGGTGACATTTTGCTTCTTCTAATTCTCTTCTTAATGTACTTTTCAAGCAGAGCAGATAATAATTATGAATTATAATCATGTAGAACTGTTCTTACCAAACAGCAAACTCAACCAAGATAGTGCCAAAGCTGCAAGCAATTTCTCATTTATGATAATAGAGTTTTCTTCATTACTGCTGTGGGAAAATGTCATATCTCAGCTGATGGCATACATTGTTTTAGATGTAGTGATCTTCTTTGGTTGTAATATTGACAAACCGCTATGCCATCACATGTCAGATTTTGACTGCACCTGTTTGCAAACTCAGATTAATTATGCTCTGCTGTCTATCTGCTTATTTTATGGATGTTTTGCTCACATGTTTTTAAGCAATGCTATTTAATTGCAGATAACTAATGGTAGTTATCTCTTCTCATTATCTTACTTTAACATTTGATTTATCTGATTGCTGCAGGTGGAAACAATAGGTGATGCGTACTGCGTCGCAGCAGGGCTCCACAAGAAAAGCCTTAGCCACGCTAAAGCCATTGCCTTGATGGCACTTAAGATGATGGAGCTATCAGAAGAGGTTCTCACTCCAGATGGGAGCCCTATTAAGGTAAATCATTTGCTCTTTCTTCTCAGTTCATCAGTGGTACATCGGCCTGATGAACTCCCTATATTCTGTCAGTAGAAGTCTACTGCAAGTATTAAAAATTACTGCAAGATATGACTTTATACATTTCAGTGGTCCCCATCAACATTCGTGCTTAGTTTTTTAAGCACAGTGCATAACTTAACATCCACATAATGCACATTTTGCTGTGTGTGGGGGTCTGCTTTGTGTTAGCTGTCACTTTGTTATATGCATTGAAAGTCTATTTGTGGCACTAGGTGCACTGCTAGAGACTTCCAGTTCAGTTAGTGTGAGAAGGAGATGATTCACATGCTCCATGACTGTGCCATACTGCAAGCTAACACATGGAGTGGCATTTAAAAAATTGATTTCAGAAGTAGGCTCCAGAACTTCAGCTCTGCTATAGATGCACTCAGATAGTTCTGCGGCTCTAAGGGGCACATCTTTTTTTCCAAAAAGTTGTTGACCTGAATACAATTGTGTGGGGACTGCTTGCTCTTGGTGACACTGTTCTTCCTTCCCACGCACCACCAGTTCTTTTTCCTAGACTGGTACAGGAGGCAGCAGGAGGTGGGAAAGCGTGTCCTTTTGTAGTTTTTTGAAGGTTCTCTCTGCCATTCTGAATCTTCTGATCTTACAACAACCTTGTAGCCACTGGCACGTGACATGGATAACATTTAGGTAGAAAATGGAAATTCAGCAGGAAACAGAGTCCATGGGGATAGATACATGTCTTTCCTATGCAAGGCTCAGTTTACATATTGCCTTCATTTTACTCACTCCTGGTTTTGGTTAAATTGTTCTTTTTATTTTCAAAGAAAATGGGGAGATTATTTAGAACAATTATTCAACACTGACTAAAGCCACTAACAAAAGTCATATGTATCTAGATGAGAAGGCTGGACAGAGTTCCCATAGGATTTACATCTTGGTTGAATTACACTTTGCAAACTGTGATTCCTTATATGTGCTAAAAAGGGAGGCTTGAAAAACATGGATTTTATTTTTTTTTCTCTTTTTCTGGGAGGGGATTGTGTTATGAATTTCTAAAACAACTCTTTGATTTTAAAACCTGTCAGAAAATACATGTTTTTGAAAAAATAATAAATCTGTGATGATCCTTGATTATATATTTTATTTTAAAATATTATAATTTTAAATTATATATTCTTGAGTTCAAACTCATCTCTATTAAATGATACCTTGAATTATATTTCTTGAAGTCTTTGTATGTGGTGAATCAAGAGAGATTTAATCCAAATGTGTTGCCATGCCCAAGAAGGAGAGCATGGACAGCTAATGTAAATACTCCAGGAAATATAGCAACACAAATGAAAATATAAGGATGAAATGTTTGTATTTTTTGGTACTCATGCTTCTGATGAAATTTTTCTTTAAAATTGTGAAATATTTATTTATTTACCATAAAATGGCCACTTATTTAAAAGCCTAGCTTTCCGTGAAAGTACCTTGGATTATGAATATTGAAGAATAATTTTATAAAAGCTTCACAAAGTCTTTTATTGAACTCAGAATTAGCATTAGGAGACAAATATTTTCTAAAGATACCAGAAGATGTTTTTGGTTTTCAGTTTTGATTCAGAACTGTTTCAGATTGGTGTTCACTTACACCGTACAAAATAGTTTTTCCAGGTTGTTTGATAAGTTCTCTATTTTTCCAGTGAATATAGATGATCACTGCAGTCTAGCTTCACCGTCACACGCTGGAGATCTGCCTTCCAGATCCTTTCTATCTTTATACTCTATAAATAATTCTTGCAATCATAGGGAAATTTTAAATGTTTGTTTTACTCTTAAAGTCACAGTGAATGTTTTCATTACTACTATTTTTTTTTTTAAGAAAAATTCTTTATCATTTCAGTGACTTTGTAAGAAAACCTATAAAAGAATGACCATAAAGACAATGCATGAGAAAGACGCTTGTAAAGAAGAAAATGCTAGGAACAGCTGCATATATTCAAAAAGTCCTAATGAGTTTCCTTTTGAATTCGGAAGAAAAACTGTCAGTTTGTTATAACTTATATTGAAAATAGAGGTGCTGAGAAGGTCCTCAGTGGATGTTAATTATCCTGTTTTCAGTTTTAAGTGTGACTTCAAGGCAGGAGGACCAGTGATACCAACCAGAGTGACAAAAAGCCTTACACAGTTATTGTTGCCTTTGTACTGAGACTGCTAATTTACGCTTAAGAAAGTATATAGAGGCATAGAATCATAAAATAACCTCAGGTGGAAGGAAACCACAAGGAAGACTGAATCCAATTTCTGGCTCCACGTAGGACCACCTAGAATTCAAATGCAACGTCTGAGACATTGTCCGAATGCTGTTGAATTCCAGTGTTGATTTGATTTTAAGGATTCATCTCTCGTGTGTATATACCCTGTAAAACTATAGGAATAAGGACTTTTACAGAAGTCAGCTCTAATTTGTCCTAGTTTATGTATCTGCACAGCGGTGAGGTGAATCACACCCTCAAAATGTGTGTTTTTTTTTCAGTTGTCTGTATGGTAATTTTGTAGACCTAACCTAAATTTGGGTATTTACATTGTAAACTTCTTCACTGTCAGATGAACCCTCCTACAAATGGCAAAGAATGTGTAGTCTTCTTAATAGTTATGTCAGTTATCATTGCAGCTAAATGTGGATGCATTACTCCTAAATTAAATTGGCATGATTAACTTCCAGCCAATGCTGCGTAGCATGGAGTGATCTCTTTTTTTTGTTGGTTTCTTATGTACAAAGCTTTGAAGGTGCTCATCGTTCCACAGATTTTTACTAACAAAGACATCACGTACATCATCCACCTGAAGTTTACAGATCCCCTAGATGTTTATAAAAATGGATTCGGCTCCATGCCATTAATAAGAGTCTAATTGTTTCATATCCTTTGCTATAAGGCATTTCCACAAAAATATTTCATATATTCATAAACATTAGTTAGGAAGTACACTGTGCAAACTAGAAGATGTGAAGTGGCATGACTTCTCAATGAGGAACTGTAATGTATTGTAATGTGGCTACTTTGAACTGGTCCTGTTGGTGTGCGTGACAAAACAAGCACAGTATTTTGACCATATTTTGACTCTAATTCTTATCAGAAATTTGTATTACAAATTTACATTCCTTGACCCATTGCCAAATGTGTTGAATACAGAATGCTAAAAGCAGCTTTTTTTTCCTCATGTTGAATATCCTGTATCAGTGTTTGGATGTTGGAGAGCTTGAAATCAGAGAGCAGTTATCCTCATACCCAAACCTTTTTTTGCCAGGATCAGCTGTGGCCTTCGTTCCTCTGAAACAAGTTTTCAAAACATAATTCCTAAATATAAGAGTCCCTCTGATCTCAGGAGTAAACAACAGTGTTGTGATTCCTCCCCCTAGAATCTGGCTTACAAGCATTGATTGAATAAGAGGAAATTATTCCCAGCCACTTTATATAATAAATGACACCACAGTGACTTGAACTTTGATTTCTGTTAACTGGCTGACTGTTACCACATGATTACTCTGTTTTGAAAGCGTCTTCGAAAAAGAAGCAAACATGCTAACATCTCCTTGGTGTTTGCAGTGGATTTCTCTTCCAGAGACATAGTCTTATTGAAGCTATTGCAGATCAGCACTGGAAACAGAGTTCAGAAATTACCGCCAGCTTTGTAGGGTGCGATTGGCAGTGGCGCACACTGAAGATGGCTCTTTATTGCAGAAGGCAATGTCTTTTAGGCAGACGTAAGTTACACATGTTTCTGGGTTGTCTTGCTTGCAGAGATTTCAGCTCTAGGGAAACCCAACTGCAATTATGATATGCAGTGCTTTTTATTTGATGATTACTCAATTAGACATCTCTGACTTCATGATTATAGTTTATGGAATACATATATTTTCTAAATTACTTTGAAGAATATATTTTGTTGTCATCTTGGGACTGAATTCAAATGTTTGCTTTTTGTACTGCTTGAAGTGATCATCCTTGTGATAGCAGCTTATTGACATCCTCCTGAGTGACACTGACAACCTCAGAAATAGACTCAGAAAGTCAGGGAGAAAAAGTAAATGATGGAATGAAAAAGACTGTACTACACAAGTGGGAATTAAGGATAGGATTTTTAGTATTAGCAGGCAATCAAATGAAAGTTATTGTCTGGGTTTACAGTTATCAGTATTCATTCTGCACATTCTGAAGAGCCTGCTCCTTAGAGCGATACCTAGACTACCTGACTAGAAAGCAGTGATGGACCTCAGGATGGTGGCAAGGTGCATGAGGCATGTCTGTTTTATATCCCTGGTCTCACCCTGTGGATCAGAGCGCATGGCATGCTGCTGAGGGCACCGTGGCGTGCAGCTGCCAAAGGCTTCTGCTTACCAGATGGAGAAATGCTTACCAGAATGGAGACCCTGTGCCTGCACTCCTTGTAGCAACTCCAATGAAATGTGATTTGCACTGTAATGAAAAATCTTGACAGAAAGAGAGAGCGGGCTATATTATAGCAGTCTGCACAAGTCCTGTTGTCAGTGCTGTAGCAGTCTCCACTTTCTGAAATAAATATTTGTAACAGAAAATGGACTGATTGCTCTCATGTAAGCAGTGGAAGCTCCAGGTCCCTGTACAATATTTTCTTACTTCTATTTGAGGCAAAATATCATTAATTTAAGGGCCTTAGTAAAAGGAAGGGCTTTTGGCTCACACACTATGTGTAGAACTGGTTATATACCCTTTCAGCAAAATGCTTTTTAGTCAGGAAGCTCTGATTTGATTTTGCTTCTGTGCCACTAATTAAACGTAGTGCCCTATGACTGTAGTTTGAAAATATTGATTTAAAATTGCCTTCTGCATTTAAGTGAGCATTACTTGAATGTTCAATATTTATCATACTCTATCTCTTTAGATAAAGTGGAAGTATATTAATTTTAATAGCTAGAGATGATGCTGTAAGAAGAATTCTCCAGAGCGTAGACCTTTAGAAAT